CGTTGAGAGGAAGCCCCAGGTACCCCGCTCCTACATCCATCTAGCGGGGGTTTCGACCGGTAAACTGCCCCTCACCGTGTTTATTTGCTGGAGTGGCCTCTCCAGAGTGGTTGTGAGTAGAAGAAGGAAGCCAGGAGGTGCCCAAGCAGCTGGCTTTGTGAGAGTGAGCTTTGTATGGCCTCTACGCGTTGACCTTTCAGTCAGGATTGGATCTACGGCTGTGAGAAGCCATCCTGTGTAACTCGCAGGGTCATTGAGGCACGCATGCCATCACACCACGTCTAGGTGCAGTCTCGCTCGCATGGGTAGGGAGAACCTGGGAGAATCTGGCTCGTGACTGTGTGTGATCCGTGTCTCCGGGTGTTGACCAGTGAGATGGTCAGTTTTGAATGGATCCGCGCCAGTGCTGGGTGATGGTGATGTGGTCTGTACAGGACACAATTAGCTGCTGATTGCAGTCCATTGAAGAAGTGAACGCTCAGCCTCGTCACTTAGGACAATCCCAGCACTAACAACAGCGTGCATCACATACTGAATCGCCTGACACACGAAGAGTGAAGAATGCAAAGTGATAATTAAAGTAGGTGGCTTTTTGATCGGTCTGAGAGAAAGCGTGTAGACATTGAATGCGATGAAGTGAAAAGGAGATTCCGGATTTATCAATCCCATTTGTTCTGATTGAACGACCTTACTAATTGAATGCTGATTGATATCCGATGGGTGGCGTCTGATGTGGGAATGAGAGAAAGAACTAGACAGATGGACAAAAGGTTTTTCCAAGTGGGTGCATGATACTTTAGTGCACCGCATACTTTGCGTTTCTCTTTGGGAATCCCGAACAGAGTGTTTGACTCGAAAGTCTAACCCACAAAGCCGTTGGCTGTAGATCCAAAGCGAGGATATGACAGAAGTATCGGTGTGGGAGCTTTGTCAGATCTGTCACACAACGCCTTTTGGTTCGTATTCAGTGTTGTCCGAAGGTGCATTCACTGAGGGCCTGCAGTTCGAGATCCGTTCTAAATCTCATGTACCGAATGAAACAGTCAGAACGTGCAGGGGACAGTACCTTATTCGCTGGAGGCTGCCCAGCTTGTGCAACCGGCAGCCGTCGAATGAAGTGCAAACACTCCTGTCGTCGAGACGGAGCCCCAGGTACCCCGCTTCCAAGTGCATCTAGGGGAATTTAGACCGGTAAGCTGGTGGAGTAGATGGTCAAATGTGCCTAACTTGTTGATCTTGTGAGACTGAGCAATATCCGGCTTCTGCTCAGTAAGCTTTCGAGCATGATTGGATCAGCGACTGTGGCGAGGCATCTTGCATAAATCGCAGGGTTATGGAGGCACGTAAGCTATCCCAACACGTCAAAGTGTAGCCTTATTGTGAAGGGTTCGTACTTGGGGGACTGGACAGTATTCAATCTCAATTCGCACTGTGGTCCATTTGTTCAACTATACCACTCCAAAATAGTACACAAGAGAAATGCCTATTTTTAATGCACAGGTGAAACTGGCGTGTCTGAAAATCTACGGCATGATTTCGCAGGAAACTCAGCCATATTCGCATATTNACGAAGTTTTATAGAGCTGAACTATTTCGGTTGGAACGAAAAACTTTCCTACGATGACATTAAAACAATGGTCATGCAACCCAAAAAAAAATGTTTGTGGAGCAGCAACAAAGTTAGCTTTCAAACACACGTACACATATGCATATGTAGAGAGAAAAAGTACCAAAGACCAATGCTGCTATTGACTTTTTTATACCCAAATGTCAAGTCATGGGGTAACCAATGGGCTAAAAGCTACAGGAAAAAAAAACAGAAATGGCCACACGAGAAGAACTTGTTTCTAAAACAACCGTATTTCAATAATCTCACCAGCATATGTAGCTGCTTGCTGTTGTAAACTTTGTAAGAGGCCTCGATTAACGCCAAATTGTTCCGCAACCGTGCCCAGGCCATCCTCACGTACTAATCCATAAAGGGCCAAAGCGGTGTAAAAGCGGCGGTGTAGAGCTAAACGCTGAGCATGCGAACTTCCGGTCTCACCATGCTTCTGCATGCCTCCAGATGCCCCCGATGCCATGCGAGTGATAAACCGTTCCTCCACACCTATCAGATCAGCGACACGACGATCAGATGGAGGTAATGACTGGTACCGTTCAAGGTAACGGAACCAGTCCAACCCAGCGCCCACATCCAAATAGACTGGAGTCAGCTAGGTTGAAATTTGAAGAAAAATGGAAAGATTTCAAAAATACTAAACCACAACCTTCTGTAGGATACGTGACTATTGAGTACAAACACTGATTGATACAATTCAGTGAGCTAGACGCGGCTGCTCCGGTATCTACTCACTTTCTTCTTTCACGTTATTCCTCCTACTTTTATTTGAACTCTTATGGGAATGCAAATCCAAGGATTCCAAGATATGAAAATTTATATTGTGAAATGTCATTTGTTAGTGCAAAGTACTGTTCAAATCGCATATTCGGACGAAGTTTTAAAAACCTCGTTCCGATGGTCAAATTACGTGACAACCCATTAAACCGAACACAACTTATTCAATAGGTTAACAAACTATGTGGTGAATACTACAAGGCGAGATGTAGACCAAAAAGCAGAAGAACGAAAGGCTCACCAGGTAAACTAAATGGAGTTCCGTATCCAAGGCGATTGCACGTCGTGCTTTGTTCATCTCTTCGAACACCACAAGACCATGTGTGGGGCCCAAGGATGAGGAAAGTACAGCCCTACCCAAAGCTGTAGGTTGCAGTCGAGCACAATCGGGATACGCTTTTACTGGATCCGACTGATCCGATGGAAGTTTTGCATTTAGTTGGCATGTTTGACAGTCTGCGTCTGTGCACCTGGTTCGATTAACATAAATCAGTTCATGATCTTGAAGTTGGGCTAAACAGGCAATCAACAGAGGATCAGTATCGCTCTCTTCTTGCGAAATATTCTCCTGAGATAATGTCTGACTTTTGGGTAAGGCTTTCGTTTGAGACAGGCGCAATGATTTTCGTCGATTGTTGTGCCGTCGTGTGGAAGGAGTGCTGGATTGTGCACGTTGGCTTGCTGCCATCAGAGTGCTTGATAAGTAGAGTCGTGCATCGGCCACCGTTTCTATGAAACCGTTAGCTATGACCTATAAGGTAATGACCAGATAGTATGGTAATGTAGTAGGTAGCGAAGACAAGATGTGCGATCTTTTAGGTTTGAAATAAAATCAATTTTTCCGGATGAACCAACAGAAGAGCAACATACGAGTAGACAAATTAACTGCCCATCACAAATTACCAACCGAGAGAAACAAAAGCAATCATGATCAAAATATGGCCTAATCATAATACTCAAGTGAAACTGATGTAAACAACTAACCTCAAGCAGAGCGCGTCGCAAGCTGGATTCAGGTGAGCCACCGTGACTCATCAGGCAGGAAGAGACTGATGACATACCAGAAGTAATTAATTGGCGAACTCGGGGGAGGTCACGCGGTTTGCACAGCAAAATACTTTGACCTGGCGATAATATGGAACATGGCAGAAAAACATGTATGCCGTAAGAACTTTAAGTTGCACGCAGCATCCTAGACGATCGTATGCAGTGCAGTGTTGTAACAAGCTGTTAGTACAACCATGAGAACTCCGATAAACTTACCCGATGTGTCAACACCTTTACGACCAGCGCGACCGGCCATTTGTTTATAAGTTAAATAATCCAATATCTGGCCGTGAAACAAAGGTGTACGAATGATGACCCGACGAGCCGGCAAATTCACACCGGAACTAAGCGTGGAAGTGGCCACTAGCACACGAATAAGGCCTGCTCGGAACCCGTTCTCCACAACTTCACGTTCCTCAACTGTCAGTCCTGAGTTATGCGAGGGACAGTAAAAGTTTAACATGATGAAAGGGCAGAAATCTATCACATCCGACTGTCACAAATGTATCAGTAGGAAAGTTGTAACGGCTGCTATGTTTCGTTATAGATTTCCAGCGAACATTTTCAAGACTTGAAGTATAACATAACTCATTAGGATGTAAAGCCGACTGACATTGACGCTCCAGGAACACGAAAATAGATCGTTTTAGCCAAAACAGAAAACCATTTCACATCTCATATTCACATGTTACTGATATGATACCCCGTAGACTGCTTGCTGCACGCTGGAGAACCGGACTGGGTTTAGACCTAGTCGAGGTCATGTGGACCACATTTTCACACTTCGCCAAAATTTAGAACAGAGACGCTCATTTCGTAGACCCTATATAACTATCTCCCTCAATCTGAAAGCGGCTTTCTACTCAGTCAACTGCTTTAAACTCATGCGATGCCTCTCGCTCTGAAGGTTTTAGCTGAGAATTTGCAATTTCTTTCTACTAATTGCTGAAGCCAAGTTTGGGCTTACGGCCCCAGTTCAATAAAGAAAGTGGTGTTTGTCGGGGTTGCTCTCTCTCTCTCTCTCTCTCTCTTTTGTTCAACTTTCTCATAGATTCAATTTTTTGAAACAGCGATATCCTCATGCCAGAATTATGGCACACAGTTGCTCCCAGATGGTAGACTATAAGATCTGGAGTACGCAGACGACAATGCAAAGCTAACCGAAGATCCAGGAAAGTTGTAAGCTTTTCTAGGCCATTTCAGTGCTAGTATAGCTCCGTTTGGCATGCGTTTTGTACCTTCAAAGTGCAATATGCTACTAAAAGATTGGGTTGGCCAAACCAAGGAAGTAGACAAATTTTGCTATTTGGGCAGATATCTCTCACCTGGAGGAAGCATTACGGATGAAGTGTCTGCACTCACACGAAAAGCTAAATTCCCATCTACCAAGTTCGGGCATGTGTGGCGCCGTTGCGACATTCGGCTGTCCGTGAACGATCGAGCGTTTGCTTCAGTAGTTCGGTCAGTTCTGCCTTACGGTGCAGAGAATTGACCATTGCCGGAACAGGGTAGTGGCAGATGGTCGGTATTCGAACACCACCGCATTTAACAAGTCCGTTAGGGAAACCGGACAAGCAATGCCGAGGTAAGGCGCAGTTTTAGATCATCGCAGTCGCTCGCTGGGGCAAGTGAATGACCTTCATAGACTACGTCGGTTGGTGTTGTGCATGTCGCCAAATAGGTTGCCACGGCGCGCGATATTTGCCGAGGCAGGCAGTGGATCGAGGATGT